TATTTTGTATACTCCCTCCATTTTATTAAAAATAGCATTGTATGCAAACACTGTTTCACACAGTGTTTAAAATAAAATAAATTAGGAACCCCATGATATTTGCAAGATTACGGCATGGTAACAGTATGTTAATGAAACTTAGTTCAATATAAAAAAAAGTGACAATTGAAAATAAATGTTAAACAAGCATAGTAAAGAAATTAATGATTAAAATTGGAGATTGGGAGACAATAACACTAAATCTAAGTGTTCCGATATGTGTACTAGAAAATATTTAATGTATTTGCTAGTTAGTTTTTGTGGCAGAGAAAAACAGCAAATCCATAAATATATTGGTTAAGAAAATATTTGTAGAGTCGTGTATAGATGCCACGTGCTGGATATATTAGTAGACTGAGCACAGTGTGTGAGACTCTGAGAGCCCAGGTGGAAGAGATGGTTAAGGGAACACACTTTAGTGATCAGCACTGGATTCTGGTGATGAGGAGTTATGTAGGGACAGAAGGCAGGAACATTCCTTTCATCGTTGGAGCTGTGGATGAACCAGGACAAACACCAAGAGGAGTCCTGACTCTTGGAGCCTAGTTAGTTAGTAAGCATTTGGGCTTGGCAGGATCAGCCTCTGTTGTGGAGGGAAACCCATGTTCAGAAGCAGGGAGCCGTAAGGAAACATGTGTCCTTAGAGACCTCATATAGAATCTGAAGACTGGACCCCTTTCTGGTTCTAAATAGTAGAAGACCTCATGGTACATGGAATTGGACTTGCCCAGGAGCTTAAAAAAATACTGTTGCCTAGAAAATTCTGATGAATGGAGGGTTTATTTAACCAGGGCATCCTGGGCTTCCGGTTGTCCGGGTGATTCTGGGGGGCAGCCAACATTGAGAATCTGGTTTCAGAACCACCTGGAATCAGACACAGCGATGTGCAAGTCACAGGTCTCCATGCTCTCCTTTGTGACCATACACACATAGTCTCTGCGGACCCTTTCCTTATTTGCTAAATGGAGCTAATAATATCCACCTGATAAGGCTGTAATTTATTCACCCTTTCATTCATTCATTCTTTCACTCAAATACTTATTCAGTGTGTGTTTATTGAATGCCTGTTGTATACCAGATATCATTTTCAGTTCTGGGGACTTAATAGTGAACTAAATGTGTCTCCCTTCCTCCTTGACACAGAAGCAGTGGAGGTTTTGCTTCTGTTTGCTCCAAGGAATTTATTTTCTACTATTATGAGGATTAAATATAATGACACAGGTAAAGCGCTTAGCACAATACCTGGCACAAAATAAATAGAATTATTGTAATAATCATGTTTGCACACATTTAACTAGGGTCCTAACGTGAAATTGAATAATGTTTTCATTCATAATAAAGCCTGATTACCTTTAATGGAATCAAATGTCTCATTTAAAACAAACAAATGATTAGCCCATAAATGCACCAACATCAGTAAGATTGCCGTTTGTTTTTCTCTGCTGAGGGTGTTCACTGGCAAAAAAGGCAATCATAAAGCAACCTTCCTTATGCCTTCTGGGAACAAAGATATCTGTAAATCATTATTACAAGGATCAAATGCACCAGTTACATAATTATACATTTTTCTGCAGATACTTAGGAGAAAATAGGATGCTACTTGATAATACCGTTGCATTAGTATCAGTCCTTGCAGTTCTGCTGAACTCTGCAGGACGTCTTTTGGAAGAGAGGACTGGCAGCACCACAGTTCAAGCGCTTCGGTAGTCTGATTAGGGCCCTCTGGTGGGGCCCTACCTCCTGCAAGGTGCTCCTTGAAAGAGAGATACAGCGAATTTACAAAAGCTCAGAAGAAGTGAAGGGATGTTGCGCTTTGCTGGGGATGTGTTTTGGGCAACTTTTGGAATCAAATTTTGAAGTATAGAGCTATTATTATTTATTGTCCGCCTGTTTAGCAAATAATGCTACTTATCTGGAGAGGGAGCACTTTGAGATAATGCTTGCTGCACAGTTGATGTTTTAGAATTTTGAAAGCTGCTACTGATTTTACTTGGGAACAGTACCCTAAAGTTCTTAACATTTGCTAAATTGTCAGAAAGTCAATTCATGTGACAACTCTATAACAATCCAGTGGAAAAATTGTTGCCAGTTAGTAAAATCAGTATTGTTATCTAATGAAAGTATTCTTTTATCTGTAATGAAAGTGAAGTTGCTCAGTGGTGTCCAACTCTTTGCGACCCCATGGACTGTAGCCTACCAGGTTCCACCATCCATGGGATTTTCCAGGCAAGAATACTGGAGTGGGTTGACATTTCCTTCTGCAGGAGATCTTCCAGACCCAGGGATTGAACCCTGGTCTTCCGCATTGTAGGCAGACGCTTTACCATCTGAGCCACCGGGGAAGTCTTATGCAACTGCTATTTTATATGTATTGCAGATTATAAATTTGTTTTATTCAATGCTATTTAACAAAGCTGAATTTTATTGGCCACTGATCTTATTTTCTTAAAATTTTTAAGAATGCTCTCTTGCCTCCAGATAAGTTTGCCAATTTGGCCTCTGCTTCTAAATAATTTCAGTAGATTGTACAAAGTGACATAAACATCTCAATTACTTTCTGAAGTTTACATTTAAAATACCCTCTCTGGAAATACATATTAATTCATGGCAAGAATTAATATTGACTGGCTTCTGTTCTCCATATTCTAAACTAGTTTTTTAGTCTACTATGCTAAATTACTTATAATTCTTAAATGTCTAAGAGAAAAATTAGAGTGCTGGCCTGCATGTGGCTGAACATGTCACATATTGCATTTGATAATCTGTAATGGTGTAAGTTTAATCTGAATAATTCTGAGTAGAGACCCAAGTTCAGCATGTGTTTACGGTGCAGGTGAGCGCTTGTCTTGGCGCTGCCTTGGCAGCCGGTAGTCAGTGGACCAGCATCAAATCAACTGCTATTTGACTAAGTCACTGCTGATGGACTTGAGAGATTGCCCTGGGCCCCATTTCTGGCTATTGATTGTTAATATCTGGGATCCCGGCAGTTTTCTGTTCTCAGTGGGTAGCTGCCTTCGGCAGAGATGGATCTGGGGACTAGAAGTGTTACTTTAGGCTGTTTGATCAAGAGCCTCAGCCTGATAGGGCAGCTAACCAGTGCATTCAGACCAACACACTGGCAGGCGTAATTATTTTAATTTGAAGATGTCTGTGGACTCTGTGGTAGACTTTTTCTTCTCCCAAGTGAATCAGAAGTTGGATTAACTTTTCTCTATTACATGGTCTTGTGATTAAGACTGTATGTGCTAACTGCAAACATGTTGTCCTAAAACAATTTGTGACATCAAGAGAAGGCTGTCAGAACAGAGCTTTTCAGCCCCATTTCTACTGGCATTTAGGCCTGATAAGTCTGTGTTGTGAGGGGCTTTTCTATGTGATGTAGGATACTTGCCAACATTATTTGCCTCTCCTCATTAGATGCAATAGTGCCCCCCAGCTGTGACAACCGAAAATATCCCCTGGTGTTGCAAAATACTCCCTGTGAGATAGAATCACCGGTAATTGAGAACCACTGCCTTAAGAAAAAAGGAATACTTGATCTTCTCAATACAGGATGAGTCAGAGCCAAATTAGATAAAGAGTTTATTTTATTTTTAAAGATATTTCTGAGTTATAAAAATTATTTCTGTAACATATACATCTTGATTGCATAAAATCTTATTCTGTAAAACTCTTTTGAGTACTAAATAAACTCTTGGATCGTCTAACTTCTTATTCCTATCAGAGGGAAGAATTATCTACATTCTCATGTCCCTTTCTTTCTAAAAAAAACTTTCTATGATTCTGTTCCTTACTTAAGGGTAAAGATAACAAACTGTTTAAAATTACCTTAAAGAACAGGATCCATTTTGTCCATTTGTTTTTGTGTTTTTGAAACAAACATTATTATTACACATAGATTAAACATCAAGAATGAAAACTCCATTGACTTAGGAGGTTGAAAATATACCACCAGTAAGGTGGAAAAGTGTGCTAGGTTATGCTTTGAAAAATGAAAAAGCACATTGTTAAAGTAAATTTCAAGTAAATTATTTAATTTTACTCAAGAACAGATATATTTCCTGACATACAGATTTTCATATCAACAAATGGAAACCATACTCATATATTCATGAAAGCATTTTCTGGCAGAAAAATCTATCTTATAGCATTTATTCAGTGTTCCTGTATGTATTTCCTTGAATAATCATAATGCACTTCTTTAGGAGTATTCTTTTCAGACTTCATTTCTCCTTAGTAAGCTGAGTCTGTTGTAGAGTATCTCACAAAGTAATAAGAAGCTGGTGGAACATCTATAATTTACCTAGGAAAACTTACAACAAATACATATGCCAAACTCTTTATCTTATGTGCTCAAAAGAAATGGTGTCATCATCACCTTTCATATATCCTAAGATTTATTCACAGTTTACATTGACTGTGAAACTCTGTTATCCACAAGGAGTTCTGCTTTATATATTCTAGATAATAAGACACTTGCAACCTATTAACTGTTGTAAACAAATCTTTCAAGTACATATGACATAGCAATTACGGGCTGTGTTTTCTTAGACAAGTTTCTAGGATTAAATCAGGACAAAGGTGGAGCTTAGGTAACTATAAGAAGTTTCTGTATTGAATGGTTGAGCTATTTTTCAAAAGTAATTGCAAGTATTGTAGACCTCAAGCTTCAAAATCCCAGTGGAAAATTTCCTAGATAAATTATCCATTATGTTTTAGAGAAACATTGATTTGATGAATGCTTATTTAAGAAACATTCTTAATCTAAACAAGAGTTAATAAATGTGCAGTTAAGTGGAGAGAGGGAGGGGGAGGGTGGGAGGGAGCAAAGGAAGCGTGGATTATGGATGGATGCATGGAAGGATGGATGGATGCGTGGATGGAGGATAGATACATGATGTAGGATATCAACTTTAACCAAGACCTGCCTATTAAATTTTACCTTATATTTTATTTTTCAGCCAATGTTTTCAGTTGCACCAAGCTTAGCTACCAATGCATCAGCAGCCTTTAATCCCTACCTGGGACCTGTTTCCCCAAGCCTGGTTCCAGCAGAGATCTTACCGACCGCACCAATGTTGGTTACAGGGAACCCTGGGGTCCCTGTCCCTGCAGCCGCTGCAGCTGCTGCTCAGAAATTAATGCGGACAGACAGACTTGAGGTAGGAGTCCTGGGTGTTTTTATGTATTCTGTTCGAAAATTCCTAGTGTGCTGTTTGCTTTTTATTTCTTCAGTGGCTGTAAAGGGTAGAAGCTAATGCAGAGATTTTGGTTCAGTGTTTGGGGCATTTTGCTAGAATATAGATATGCTATATTTCATGAATGTAACATTTATAGAAGCCACAACATCCATGTGTAGAAAAGTGGATAAGAACTTGGGACTCTGGGATCAGACTGCTTTTTACTTGGCTGTGCCTCAGTTTTCTTCTCTTCAAAATGGAGAAACGATTTTATCTCAAAGAGTTAGACTTAGCTTCCTAAATGTTTCTTGTTACTATTGCTATTAACAAATTCTGTCAATCCCCTGATACATGTTCTCATGAAGTCGTTATTAAGTTACTGCACACAAAGTGTTTTAAAATTTTTTATTGCAAGTTTCCTCACATAACCCTCACAGTGTTTCAGCAGGAATGACAAGGCACCTTTGTTTGTGAAATAAGCTGATAACTTTTTAATTGCAAATTGTGTGATACTCTGTCTTAGAGTCAAGGATGATCTGATGTATGTGCTTTGCTATTGCTGCGTGAAAAAGAAATTAAAGATATGATCTTATATTGAAGTAGTTGAGAATTTCAACTTGACTGTAAATTAGTGGACTTAGTAAACTCTAAATGGGAAAAATGGCAGCATTGCTATACACTGAAGCTCTCAAATCTGGCTTTGGTATCTAAATAAAGAAAAAATGAGATTTTTCTCTTTTCCCTGGTTACGGTGAAGCAATATTTAGTACTAGAAGTTTTGCATGTCTTAATTACGAGAAAATGGCAAAATGAGGCCATTGTGTGAACATAATTGACACTAATAATTTATCAGTTTAGCAGGAATTTATTTAATAAGTGCCTGCCACGTTCTTATTTATTAAGTTTCATTACATGCATTACAAAGGATCTCAGATTTCAGAGTAGTTATAACTGCCACCACCTTTTTGATGGTAGTAGCTATAGCTGATAATTATTGGATATTTACTCTCTACCAGCCATAACATTACCCCTCCATGTGCAACACACATTTAATCCTCAAAGCAATCTTATGAGAAAGATACTAGCGTCAGCTCCATTTAACAAGGCAATAAACTTGAGAGAGATGCAACATGACTTATTCAAGATCACATGGATAGGATCTTCTGGTGGGGCATGATATCAGAATTTTAAACACTGTTATTACTCCCCTTCCCATACAAGTGATGGTACAAACAGGAGGCAGGAAATTTGGGCTTGTATGTTCCCTTTAGAGTTTTTGTTTGTTTGCTTTAGGCTTATTTTTAGCCTTTCATTGAACATGTTGGAAAAAGCTCCTAATTACAGGAGTTCCGTAAGGAGGATTCAGGAAGGATGTTGAGACCTGATTGCATGCCCTCTGTGGACCAAGGACCCTGCCGTGTGCTAGAGATAAAACCTTCAGTTGCGGGTGGTTTGTCATTGCATAGTTGTTCTTGCTCATTAATAACTAATGCTGTTTGCAGAGAAATTTAGGAGCCAATTTAGGAAGTTTTAAATATTTAAAAATTATTAGATGCTCAGTATATGAATCCCCCCCAACCTTTCAGAAGCATATCTTAAGGTTCTTGATTGTTTAATGGGAACCAAATAGGCAGTCTGAGATGAACTTGATTGAATTAATTTTTAATAGGAGATTAAAACTGAGATTGTCTCTATTTAAATCTCTTTCAAAGAATCCCTTTAAAAGACTGGATATTCAGAAATCTTGTAAACTAATTCTTCCACAATTTTAGGTAGACTGTAATTGGTTATATTCTTTATGATGTTTAGTTAAAATGAAGACTTCTGTCTTTCCTTTGGTTTTGTTTTTCTTTTGCAAGGAGCTATTGCAAGTATTTTTTTCTGTCTTCCTTTCTAGTAGTCACAACAAATGGCTACTGTTGTAATGACTGTCATTTCCTTTTAACCTGAATTCCACTTACCTCAATGCCTGATAGTAGGGCAGCTTCCTATCTTATTCTCATTCACAGGATCTGATTCAGTGTCACAGTTACAACCTGTTAGGATATTGCACTGTGATGCTAGGGGGCACGTCTTTCTCCTCGGCACTGTGATTTTAGATACTCCTGTCTTCAGACTCTTCCCTCTCATGCTCATTACACCACATCTTGGGGTCTAAGAGACACGGCAGTAAGTGCCCACGCTTATTTACACATTTAGTTGTTTGGGTTTTAAATCTGTGCTTGATTTTTAACTCATGGAACTCCTAAGTACATTTTAGAATTGTTGAGTTCCTTTTGAGGTGAACAAATTTTGAATCAGCTAAAATATTGGCCAGTTCTTCTTGCCACTTCCTTTTCTCTTTCTACTACAAAATAGGCAATGAAGAAGTTAAAAACACCATAGATGATCATCCTTCTGGTTCTTTTGTTGTAAAGAACTAACACATAGCCCCCAATGTGATGCTACAAAAAATGTTGATACTACAAAAAATTGAAAAAGAGGAACCCAAGGATTAGTGCTGGTGATGCTGCTAATTAAGTGAGTAAGCATAGGTCAAGGTTTTGTTTTTTTTTCTTTTCCCTAAGCATCATATTTCACACTTATTAAACTAGGGGATTATACCAGATAATCTCTACGATCACCTCCAGTAAGGTGAAATTTAGGTCATTTTCTTGCATTTAATGCCAACCACAAACTACTGAAAAGGTTGTGTGTGTGTGTGTGTGTGTGTATGTGTATCCACACATGCATAAGTTTTCTACCACTATCCATATTATCCATTCTTTGTTGGATATCTTTTAAAAGACTTTGCAGGTGCATACTCTCTATGCTGTAAAATCAGTTTTCTCTAAAGAGGAGCAAACCTCTTAAATATTGGTCACTGAACTGAGGCTTTTAAAAAATTCCATTTTGTGACCTTGGGGTGCCTTTGTGTAATTTCTGAGTGGCAGTTATTTTCAGTTATTATTTTAACAAATTGTTAAAATCTGTACATACTAGAAAGGACTGAGGTTTTTAGTCATATCTGCTTTACTACAACGAGTTGGTAATTAAAGAAATTGTTTATTTTCAAGATACACAGTAATCTCTTTTTATGGTGCAAGAAGGATCCATGAGTGCATTTATTCTCTCCTTTATTCAGCAATATCCAATGGAGAACTGGTGACCTTATTTCAAGTAAAAACTGTTGTGAGGAATATCTTGAGGCATCAGAAGGTTGCCTAGTGTTTTATAACAAGAGAAGATCCCCCAGAATAGTGCCAAGCTCATAAAAGATGCCTGGTAACTTGTTCAATGAGGGAATAAATGAGTCAATCAACTAGTTAATCAATTAATTAATCCATGCCCTTATTCAGAGTTTAGGGTAATCTAGAGGAGACAAAACATGACACATTTTTAACATTGTTAGCATTACCCTTGGGAACATGTTTACGTTTTGAACATTCCAACGACAAAATATGGCATCTTGTTCATGCCCCTCGTCCTGGAGCAATAGTTTTCAAGCTTTAATGTGATTAGAATCACTTGGGATGATTGTTAAACATGGAAAGCCTGGGAACTCTCTGGAGGTCCGGTGGTTAGGACTTGGGCTTCCACTGAGGAGGGTGCAGATTCAACTCCTGGTCAGGGAACTAAGATCCTGCAAGCTGCGAGGCACAACCAAAAATTAAAACATAAAAAATTGTTTTTAAATGTGGGGCCCCATCCCCACAGTCTGATTTGGTGGGTCGCCAGTGGGGCTCTCGAATCCTTTTCACAGATCTGCTGGGTGATTCTAAATGTAAATGGTTTATAAAATACCATCCAGGGGATGTGAGCACCTGTTATTTAAGTATTAACATTTTATCATTTACCTCATGTAGTTACTTGTGACTCTGGATTAAAAATCTGGCTCCTCAAATGCATTTAGCTTTCTGCATTTTGTGAAGTTGCTGGGAACACCGTGTTACAGCATAAAGAAATATTTTAAGTAAACAATGATGATTTTTTGGGGTAATTAATACCACATAACAGCATTAATAAAACAGAAAACAAACAAGTGGCCACATACTTCATATGCTGATGGAGACATTAGATTGCCGTTAGGTTAACTATATTATTTTTACATTAGTAGTCTATATGACATATTCCAGCAAAGGTGGGCAAACTACTCGGCTTCTGATATTTCCAGTTGGAGTTGTTTCAAAATAATGTATTCATATTGCTGAAAGTTTTATTCTGCTGAGGTGATCATGACATGATTCAGGCCACTGGATACTGAATGCTTCCACTACTTACTGATACAGAAGAGTCTAGTGACTTTTTTCATATAGGTATAAAAACATATGATACCTACTGACTACACATACAAGAAAAGCATTTAAAGCTAAATGTGGATTTAAGTGATGGTGAAAGAATGCCTCCATGACAGCATTATAGGCAGTTAATGGATTTGTCATGATCTATTGCATATAAATGACACTCATTTCAAAATGAGATTAGAAAAGCAAGTGCTTTTAATAATATAAGAAAGGCTTATTGATAGAATTACTTTACTTTTGTGTTTTTGTCTCGAGTATTTAGCTACTGCTTCTGTGATATTTAAATTCTTTAGAAAATCACCAAGAAATATTACGAGTTTAATGCACATGGGTCTATGAAGTTTAAATTTAAAAAAATTGTAATAAGACTTTAGAATGGCTTAATAATGTAGTGTAATAAAGACTCTAAAATGGTGAACTCATGTTCCCGTTTAAAACATCTAGTCTCTTGTCGTTTATGCTGTCTGTAATTAGCTTGAGTTTTGCTTTGGAGACGATAGAGTTGCAAGTTGTTTCTTTAGTTGGTCATTCTGATATATTCAGATTTGCTTTTTAAGTTATGTGAAATCAAATGACAAATTCTTAGCTATATTATCTATAGAAATATGCTTATCTTCACTGGCTAATGGCAGTATTGTAGGATTTCACTTTTTAGATTTCAAAGAAAAGTCCCAGATGATCTTAACAGAAATCCTCTAT